TTTTGCCAACATACATAAAGGTACCTCTTGTTAACTGTGGTACTGGAGATGTCTTACAGTTTAGTTTGTTTTACTTAAGAGAATACTTCAAGAACATTTTCATAACAATTTAAGAACCATTTAAGAACCATTTAAGAACGTTTCCAAACAAGTTAAGAATAATTTTAAAACGTTTTAAGAGCACTTTAATAACACTTTAAATTATGGGATGTCTCTAATGGGAGCAGTACTCAGAAAGAATAATTTGGGACCTAACGGTTCGTTTCTTCTTAAGCTTGGCATCGAAGATGATGTCAAACACCCACATCCTCTTCTGTTCCTTGTTTGCGATGCTGGACTGAAACTTGGTGACAATGAGCATTTTTGTCACCTTGGTAGCAGTCCAGCTCAATGTCTCCTCAAGATCGATGTCTGGCACCAGCTCACTCAAACTGGTCCCAGTTGGACCGATAAGTTTTTGATGCTGGACCACTTATTGATACAGCACTCTGGTATGGTCAACTGCTGCGTTTTTCTCCTTCAGAACCCAGGTTATGGATTACAGAAGTTTGCGAGTGATGACAGGGAGCCATGATCCGTCCGGTTAATAATCTAACGCCCATAGAGGTGTTGCGTTCAATGCTTGAGGAAGTGGACAACAGCTAGCAATAAACGCCTTGTTACACAGTAATTAGGTTTGGATTTGGACGGGGTCTGCCTGATGTTCTCCAATATTTATGTTCCCCAGTACATTGTACCTATGTTCCCCCAAAATCTTTAGGTTTAGGCTTAGGGTTAGGGTTAGGTTTAGGATTAGATGGTTAGGACTAGTGCTTAGGGTTAGATGGTTAGGGTTAGATGGTTAGGGTTAGATGCTTAGGGTTAGATTCTTAGGGTTAGATTCTTAGGGTTAGATGCTTAGGGTTAGATGCTTAGGGTTAGATGCTTAGGGTTAGATTCTAAGGGTTACATGTAGATGCTTCTAGGGTTAGGGTTGTGGAACATGTAGGTATTGGGCTACATAGGTAGGCACCTGGTTTGGACAATGCCAGACTTGCATAGCCGATAACTCTTTCTTCCCCTTCCTAAACTTGCAAAAGAACTGCACCGATCCCATCCCTGCTGGCATCAGATCGAGTATGTATTGGCCCTCCAGTTGAGAATATCCCATGATAGGAGCCTCCTGCAATCCTGTCTTGAAGATGTTGAAAGAGCTGTCACACTTCTCGTCCCATGTGAAATCACAGTTCTTCTTGGTTAAACAGTGTACATGTACGTAGTGGCCGTACTTGTAGTGAGTGTATCTCGTTCTTCCAGTAGGAAGAAGACTTTGGAAAGTTCCTCACAAAGGTTTGAATGGTATTTGTATGTTTGAGGGGTTTGTTTTGCATGAGGTATGCAATTCTCATTCGTCTTTGGTAGTGGTTAATATTATCAATGAGTGAGCATTGGGCGGGTTTGGCCGGAGTGGGAGTTTTAGTTTAACCTTTACTCAGGGCTGTTTTCTCTGATGTAGAGATGGATAGCTTACGATAGGTTGAATATGACGTGTTCATTGTTTGTTTTTTTTTGTTTTTGGCCGAAAAGCTCGTGATTGGGTTTTATTTACTCAGTGGAGTTGTGAGTTGTGGCGAGTATAGCTTGTAGTTTGAGCTATGTTTTTATTTGCCTCACAGGTTTTGGTCAGTTTCTATTTGCCATCATATGTTACAGATTGGATTAAGATGCGGATTAAGTATCTTTTTTGAGGATGAAGTCGCTCAGAAAAGACCTGCTGATTGTTTCACCGTTTTCTCTTTTGTCCTCTTATTGGTGGTTTCCTGCTTAGGAAGTGGTGGAATATCTTGAGACTCGTCTCGATGTCTTGATATTTTATGAGATGCTCCTTGATTTGTTCAATAGCTTGGTCTTGCTTGGTCTTGAAATTGGCCTGGTTTGTTTCCCTCAATTGTTGAAGGCTTTGCAGCATCAGCTTTATGAGTGTGATGGCAATAAAGCTTTATGAGTGATTGTCAGTTTTACCAATCAAGACTTTTAGTAAGTACTGGAAACCGTAGTGTAATGGGATTGACTGCCAAATACTGGATGTGGATGTGGAGTTCTTAACAATTGTGTTTCTTGAGATGATTGGGCAGTAATTGACCCAGCATGAGCTCGATCATGGTTATTTCTTTGTTGAGCCGTGCAGTGTTTGTCGGCTGTACCTGTTCATCATTCATTCATTCATTCATTCATTCATTCATGCATTCATACAAAACATTTTATTGCTGATTATTATGTGCATCACACTTTGTGATACATCTTAATTGAGTACCGGTCAGCCACTGCCAGCTGCTGGCTGTCTGCTGTGAATGTGATGCCATAGGGATCGTACAGACCCTGGGCCACACAGCTGACAAACTGACCAGTACAGTTATAGTGGTGTATGTGACTGGTCTTGACGTACCCCGTGTCTGTTGCAATGTAGATACCTGAGCTTTTGCTGCAAACACCCTTGCAGTATTTCACTTGTTTTCCGTCGATGGTTGGCCGGATTGTGTTTACAGTCACAGCGCTGCCATTAGAAACCTCCACTATCTCCACTAGTCCCTGCTCCCAATCACTGATCACAAGCCAACCATTGCTCAGTACAGCCAAGAAGCCAGGTCGTATCTTTACTGGCATGGTATGTAGAATATCACCATCCCTGGGATCGAGCTCAATCAATTCCTTTTTCTTGAGACCCGCTATGATGTTACCATTTGGCATGATTGCTACGCTTAACAGGCTATTGTCTGCGTTGCCAATCTCCGGCACGACGTGGAAGTCACACTTGTGCGTAGTGTCTTTATGGTAAACCATCATCTTGTCGGAATGAGCACACACCCACTGATTCGATACAACAACGACGTCATCTGGAAAACAAAACAAAATTGAATGAAATGATCAGATAACTGAAAGTATTTCCACTAAACTATTTTGAAAAAAAAATCATATAATATAATTATATGAAATGAACAATGAGTCTATGAATAAATAACAATAAAGAGAAACTGAGTAAGGAAACATTTTAAATTAATCAACAAATAATATAAATAATCCAAATAAATATAAATAACAAATAATAAATTATTAAAACAACCACATGCTGCCACCACGCCACCATAACTACTGTAGTAGTTAATGGGAGACACCACATGAATGATTCATGGCCAAATGCAAGACTTATCAAACAAGATGACCACTTGAATGAGATATAAACACACACTAAAAAGATGGATGCACCCGTGGGATAAACTGGGCATATGGTGTGCTATCATCTTTCTTTGAGAACACATCCCCAAACTTTAATAAAAACGGCCATGTCACCATGAAGTGATGGCGCACCTCCAACAGTATGCTACTGCCACAATTTGTGTATGCAGCACTCCGTTCCTCAGGAGGGTGATTTATGAGATGTGGATGATGGAGACGGTTTTATGGCTGTGCGTGTGCAGTGGGGTGTGACTAGATGCTTGTGCACCGGAGTGTGCCGGATGTAGGATGCTGGATGCGCTGAGGTGTTGTTGGTTGCATGCTGCTGGTTGCTGGTGTGCTGAGCTGTGTTGGATGCATGCTGCTTGATGAGTTGTGCCCAGATGTCTTTGATGTGGAATCCGATGTCTTGAGTGACTGTGTTGTTTCAGTAAATTTCGATGGCTTCTCTGATGTGTCTTGGGTGCCAGTGGGTGACTGGAGCGATGATGCGGGCTTGGTCCTAATGGATGCGATGATCTTGCTCGCGTTAGTGCTTAATGATGGTTGACTTGTCGATTTCTCCTTTCCTGCCATGTGCTTGATGTTCCTTGATTCTTGTCTTGAGGTCACGTCCTGTCTCTCCGATGTAAACATTGCCGCATTCACATGGAATACTGTAGCCTCCTGCCATGGTATTCAGGTCTTGTTTGTCCTTGTGTGTCTTTAGTTGAGCTTGTATTTTGTGTGGAGCTGTGTGATAGACCTTGATGTTGGCTTGGCTGAAGACTCGTAGCTTGTGGGAGATGTGGCTGATGTAGGATAGGGTGACCACACTACAAAAGTGTTGGTGCTGATGTTCTTGTAGCCGTTGAACTTGAGGGATGTCTTAATGTGATGGAGCTCTTGCTTGAGATGGGCTTGGGTCGCAGGTGTTGTAAGCTCGGCGGAGGAGGGTGTTGCTGACTGCTGACTTGAAGCGTGGGTGGTGGAAGGATGTATTGTGTAGGTATCAGTCGGTGTGCGTTGGCTTGCAGTGAATTGTGTGGGAGATCGATGGAGCCATCCTCTTCCCAGGTGACTTGGACATCGAGGAAGGCTAAGGTGTTGTTCTGCTCTTGTTCCATGGTGAACTCGGGCAGTTTTGGGCGCTACAGTGACTAAAAGTTAAAATAAAATATGCAGGCCTGCACCAGAAATGGGTGCTAATACATGTACCGTTGAAAAGTGTTATTTAGCTAAATCATATTTTTGTTGTGTGATTTATATTTTGCATACATTTTGCTTTCACAATTTAAGTCTTTACAATTTGCAATAATTAGGTTTTGCCCTTCACCGACATATAACCACTGTCTACTCGGTGTGTTACACCCGAGTGACAGTTAAACAACCTCACGTGCTTGGTGGTCGAGTGGTAAGACGTCTGCTCAACAAAGCAGAAGGTTGTGGGTTCGATTCCCACCCGAGTGCTTTTGCTGACTTTCACTCAGGTTGAACACACTGAGTATACAGTGTTTGTATGTCGATGAAGGACAAAACCTAATATTGATGCAAATTCTATCTTATGAATAGTCTTTGCTACTTGATATGAACACTCTCTGATAGAAACGGTACATGACACTCATTTGAAAATGCTCTTTACAGGCCTGGCATATCTTTTAAAAGTAAAGGCCTCATTGGCCTACATGTAGGTTAAAAGTAACATGGCTTGACAGGATCATTTGCAAGTACTCAAAAATCTGCCTTTTGATGAGTTGTGCCCAGATGTCTTTGATGTGGAATCCGATGTCTTGAGTGACTGTGTTGTTTCAGTAAATTTTGATGGCTTCTCTGATGCGTCTTGGGTGCCAGTGAGTGACTGCAGCGATGATGCGGGCTTGGTCCCAATGGATGCGATGATCTTGCTCGTGTGAGTGCTTGATGATGGCTGACTTGTCGATTTCTCCTTTTCTGCCGTGTGCTTGATGCTCCTTGATTTTGGTCTTGAGTTCACGTCTTTTTTCTCCGATGTAAACATTGCCGCATTTACATGGTATACTGTAGCCTCCTGCCATGGTATTCAGGTCTTGTTTGTCCTTGTGTGTCTGTAGTTGAGCTTGTATCTTGTGTGGAGCTGTGTGATAGACCTTGATGTTGGCTTGGCTGAAGACTCGTAGCTTGTGGGAGATGTGGCTGATGTAGGGTAGGGTGACCACACTACAAAAGTGTCGGTGCTGATGTTCTTGTAGCCGTTGAACTTGAGGGATGTCTTAATGTGATGGAGCTCTTGCTTGAGATGGGCTTGGGTCGCAGGTGTTGTAGCTTGGCGGAGGAGGGTGTTGCTGACTGCTGACTTGAAGCGTGGGTGGTGGAAGGATGTCTTGTGTAGGTATTAGTCGGTGTGCGTTGGCTTGCAGTGAATTGTGTGGGAGATCGATGGAGCCATCCTTTTCCCGGGTGACTTGGACATCGAGGAAGGCTAAGGTGTTGTTCTGCTCTTGTTCCATTGTGAACTCAATGAGGGGGGTGTTGCTGGTTTATGTGGTCAAGAAAGGTGTGGAGTTGTTCTGTGCCATGCGGCCACACTAAGAAAGAGTTGTCCACTTAGTGTAGCTGTACGTCTTGTTTTAAGTCTGCAGCCTCAATGGTGATGCTCTCAAACTCTTCCAAGAACTCATCACTCACATCTCATCACTCACCCCCCTGAGGACGGACAGAGCACACTGTCCGAAATGTCGAGTTATACACTCAACCAACCGGTTCTTTTCAGAACCACACTTCTTCCAAGAAGAGATTTCTTTCCACATGGTGTTACCCAAAAATTGCTCTATTTTATCTCATTCGCCATGCAAAGCTTCAAGTCATATACAACTCTAATGTGTCGGAATCAATATTCTGTACTCACTAGCTGAACTTTGCAAATGGATTTGAAAATTTCATTGGAATAATACCTTTGGCAATGAAGGGTTAAAGTAACTGCAAAAAAAAAAAATTAAATTAAACATTAATGCCACCATACTCTGTGTGCCTCAGTGTTTCATCAAAATGTAATTTGGAAACTGTTCTCTATTAATTTCATTTAAACACGATATAGGCCTACTTTGAAACATAAAAATGGCAATCTATTATTCTTCTGACATATGGATGTTGTGCCAACTTTCTTACCAAAGATATTTTACTCTGTGTTTTCATGAATATCAAGAACTGTTAAAAATACCAGTAAAATGTGAATTTAATTCTTTTTAATAAGAAAGATCGGGAAATGTTTCAATAATATAGTACTCAAGTGATTTAGAACAGTTTTTACTCGTACACATATGTTATTGATGATTCATAGCATGTGTCCCGACGGCCCGATATGGTAATAATTATAGTCCTTTCGTACTTTGTCAACTCTATTATGTCTGAATCAATACTCATCAGCTTAACTTTGAAATTTTGAGTTGGATGTGAATATTTCATGGGAATAATACTGAAGGCAATGATGAAGGATTAACGCTACTGCCAACATTGATTAATTAAAAACAATTTGCCTCTTTGAAAATATATTAAAAATGGCATTTTACTGTATTAGAGTAATGGTATACAGAACAGGTCTTAATATATACATGTAGGATACTTGGGGTTTGCTTTCTCTGACAATCAAATTGCTTGAGTCAACAAATTCAAATCAATGTTGACTCCAATGAAACTTCTGCATTGTGCCACATTGAATGTCAGTTGGAAGACCACCTTACCACTGGCCAGTTGTTTGGTGGTTAGCTATGCTATTTTATAAGGGCACACTAATCAGTATTCACAGCCTTTTACAATCCCACACGGACAAGCAGGACCTGAAGTGCAGACTTGGAGAATCTGCTGCGAATGTGGTGAAGTGCAAGACATCACCTACGAGACTCGGTGAATAAAGATCCCTGTTTTGGCCCATCCTCACTGGACAGTCCGATGGGTCACCTATACCCAAGGACTCGGCACCCATAGCAATGTTTCCCCACTTTAGCAAGCCTACGGGTCTTCTATACCCATGGCATCTTACTCCTGTGCTGGACCCAGAGACAATAGACCTGCTTCATTTACCTTCACTGGAGGAGCATGATTGACTGTACTCTGTGAGGAGCATCTCCATAGCCAAGGAGTCAGGAGTCATCCAGCCCTCAAGGATAGCCCCAGCTTCTCTCGTCTCATTAGCATCTCCTGTCACTGATGATGCACAGAATGAAGACCATGGAGTCATGGAAAACATGAGCTTGTCCCAGTTGCTGGTTTCACTTTAAAGGTAAGACTGTGCCACACTTTTTAATCATTGTGAAGAGAAAATATCTCTGAAGAGAAATGCGTTATCTCCTTGGTGAAAACTAAATAACACAGCAATTGTTGGCCTCTACTTTTGAATCCCCTCATGCAAAGTTGTTCTTGTCATGTGGATTAATTGTCTTTGTGACTTGACACATTGCAAATCATAATACGCATCTAGTCAATACCTAAGTTGGTTCATTTTCATGTCAACTAAGTTTGCATGTCTTTAAACCATAACATAACAGTCTGGAGGCTGGCTGCCCTTATATGCTGTACCTCTTTCCTGTTTGAGTAAATCTTTCACCTAGAGCTTGGTCTTCTATGATTCACTCAGGCCACTTTTTTTCCCCTGTGTCCCTTTTTGTTGCCTTGATGAATTTGCTCTGCTAGTGTGTCATTATGTAGGTTGTTTTGCCTGACAAAATGACCACATATTGCAATATGACCGAATATGGCAATTAATTTCTCAAGGGTGTTACTGTTGCTGTATTGCATATGCTCAAATAAATATCACTTTCAAACAAATGTTTGATGTAAAGTGTAAAATCTCTTTAAAATGCTAACTTGACACAAATTATGCCTTCTCTTAATGACCAAATCTTGGTCGGCAACAGGATTTTCTGTGAAGCTTTGGACAAGCGTTATCAGATTTTATTTCTCTCCTCTTTACAACTGCAACTTCTCAGAGAATTCTATGAAACCTATTGCAAGAATGAAAAAAGAAAATAGTTAATAATTTAACCATGTTTTTAACAAAATTATGTGTAACATGGTGCACAACTTCTAAACAAAAAGAAACAAAAATTTAATACCACTTGATAAAAGAAGTCATTATTGGAAGTCCCCCCCCCCAGGCCCCTTTCATGTGAAACACCTCATAGTTAGGTTTGAATGATGAAGATCTGATTTCCTATTAGCGAGAACTTTTTTATTGTTTAAGCTGCAATAAGAAATGTTTGTTGTGCGGTGTATGAACATATGAAGAGTATATTTCCCAAATGCGATATATGTACGCCACTGTCTTCCCTTTGAGAATCCTACTCTCCCCTGGCTGCCAAAAAGCATTTCAACAGCTATTATAGGGTGTCCCTCCAAAAACGCATCAGTTTCAAAAACTGTAATTATGAACAATCAAGAAAATTTGATGATATAAACTTTGGTAGTGTATAGTGCACTTGACCATAAGCTTTGATTGGATACCAATTGCAATTTATGTTCTTTCATGTTGGCTGAGCAATCTTTTTTTTTTTCTGATGTACGATAAAATGACAATTGCCACATTTGGACATGTGGAAGGATTTGGAGAATAGGCAAAAAGACTTCTAAATAACTATTGATATGATTGATCTGAAATTTTTAAAGAGTGATAAAAGTTAAGATTCAATCGATTTTTTGTTTCTGTTGGAAGCAGCTCATTGATTTTGATGTTAGATGTGAAATCCAGATAACCAATGCTTCTAAAGTGCAGTAGTGGGCATTTACGACTACTTTAGTCAAACAATGAATGTTCAGGCATCTGGAAAAGGATCAACTTACAATTGGTGTCATATTGAAGCTAATGCCCAAGCGCATCTTGCAATACCAAATTTATCATGACAATATTACGTTTTCCTACAATCCCATTTTAGTTTCCTAAAATCACAACTGTTGCATTTTGTAGGGGGCACCCTGTTTACTTAAACTGAACTTCAGAACACAATAGAGCCAAAAAATTAAGTTTAGAAACAGCTGTTATACTGTTTTTATTCTTTTAAGTTTTGTAACTGAGCAAAGTTACCACCTGCTATTATCGTTTTGATTTTTAATTCTGTCATTCAATATAATTACCCCATCAGCATCTGGGTCTGTATTGTATTACAGTGTATTTATTCACTGAATAATAAATCTTAGGGTGCCTTCAAGTAGCTCACTGGGATCGACTCTGTTAGCTTGAACAGCCGGACTAATCGAACATTCAACCAAGGGCCATCACGATCCTCATGTGATATCTGTACAAAATGCCCATTTCAGACTGGGTCTTAACTTTGAGATTTACTGCTTTGCAGTAAGTTGAAAAAGTAAAAAAAGTTTGGCTGGAATTACAGCCTCTAAAGTTGAAATTAACTAAATAAATAATGACCTTTTTACTTGAAATAAGTTGATTTTTGGGTCCGCTCAAGATTTTCGCTGTCCAGCCGCCAAATTTGTTCGTTTCTTGAAATGAACAAACAACACATGTATGCATGTGACCTGTTCCCACCACTGAGACATAGATCCGGGTGAGCTACATGCACATTGTACTCGAATGTACCCTAAGAGTGCTAGGGCAGTTTTGGTGCTACAGTGAGTAACAGGCAGGGCAGTTTTGGGCGTTATAGTGACTAAAAGTTAAAATAAAATATGCAGGCCTGCACCAGTGATGGGTGCTAATACGTGTACCTTTGAAAAGTGTCATTTGAACAGCTAAATTATATTTTTGTTGTGTGATTTATGGCTTGCATACATTTTGCTTGCACAATGTAGGCCTAAGTCTCTACAATTTGCAATAATTAGGTTTTGCCCTTCACCGACATATAACCACTGTCTACTCGGTGTGTTACCCCCGAGTGAAAGTTAAACAATCTCTCGTGCTCGGTGGTCGAGTGGTAAGACGTCTGCTCAACAAAGTAGAAGGTTGTGGGTTCGATTCCCACCCGAGTGCTTTTGCTGACTTTCACTCAGGTTGAACACACTGAGTATACAGTGTTTATACGTCGATGAAGGACAAAACCTAATATTGACAGAAATTCCATCTTATGAATAGTCTTTACTACTTGATATGAACACTCCCCAATAGAAATGATACATGACACTCATTTGAAAATCCTCTGTACAGGCCTGGCATATCTTTTAAAAGTAAAGGCCTCATTGGCCTACATGTAGGTTGGAAGTAACATGGCTTGATAGGATCATTTGCAAGTACTCAAAAATTTGCCTTATGAAATAACCTGTTAAATAAAGGCACACATTTTGTTCATGATCTTTAAAAGATGTGACACTTGAGCTGAAAAGTCAGCTATTTTATTTGCATTTCTGTTATTGCAAATGATATATTGGCCTTTCAAGATAGCTTTTGCTATTGATTTAAATTTCTGTTGAAAAGCACTGATTATACAGTGCCCGTAATTATAATAAATAATGAATGTTTGTGAGTGCAATGGTAAGAATAATTTCATGAGGTGACAGATGAAAT